GCTCGGCTGTAGTGCGTGGGCTGGGATGGAACAGGGATGGGGCAGGGATGGAACAGGGATGGGGCAGAGATGGGGTTGGGATAGAACAGGAATGGGGCAGGGATGATGGGCTCTGGCTGGTGGCTGATGGGGGCCAAGAGACCCAGGGCAGGAGGACAGTGCCATTCCTCTCTGCTTGTGCTGTGGTACATCATGGTCAGAGCCCATTTCACTGCCAGTTCCAGGGCTGAGGAAAGGCTTTTCCCTCACGCTGGGCTGGTGGGACAGTGCAGAGACAAAGGTTTTCTCTGTGGTGTGTGGTGTAACCCTCTCCCAGGCTCTTCCAGGACATTGGAGATCATTTTCCCTGCCCTTGAGATGAAGCCCTGCAGCTCCTCCAGCCCCTCCTGGTGTCACAGTGTCCTCAGAGCCCCACCACCTTCCAGTGATGGTGGCTGTGCCATACCCACCACAACCAGGACAAGTGGAAAGCAACCCCCTGAGCAGGCAGGAAGGGGCAGGGAGCCCCAGGAACAGACTCCACCCTGCAAAATTCCCAAGCAGCAAAGCAGGAGGATGGTGGAAATCTGTGGAGGGTGGGAATGCTCTCCCCACTCTTTCCCTGGTTTGCTGGCCAACCTTGAGCCAGGCAATTCCCCCTCCATCCCCTCACCTCCCTCCTGGCTCTCTCCAGCTCTCCAGTGAACTCACACAAGGCAGTTCCTACCTTGTGAAGGACGTGGCCCCTCTTATGACAAGGCAGGGTGCTTTTATGTTATCAATTAGAAGGTCCAGACAAATGAACACCGAGAGCTGAGTCCTCAGGAATCACCGTGACTCAAACACAAGCTTTTTATAAGAAAATAAATTAAATGGCCTTGCTGCTTTACTCATCAGGCTGTTCTACATTTAACAGCATCCCAGCAAACACTTGTGTCTTCATTTAATGCTCTTCACCCTAATACCCACCATAAAAGAAATTCAGCAAAAAGCCTGGCTGACAACTTCAGCGAATTTCCATTTGACCCTCCCCTTGGGTTTTGGGTTGAGTGTTGAGTGAATGAGCTTTAAAAGCATCTTTTCATTTAGTCTTCCACAGCAGAGAATCACCGAGCCAAGAATCATACCTCACTTTGTCAGAAGAAAAACAAGATGTGGGCTTAGTGGAATTGAGTTGCGTTGGAGCACGGTATGGAAAATCTTGCCTGTGAAGCCAAACAAGGTTTTCACTGCCAGTGTTGTAAGGGAGAGAGATGCAAAATTTTTGTGGCCAGTATTTCTCGCCTGTGCCTTGGGATCTCAGGCTCTTTGGAAATGAAAGATCCTCGTTTTAGGCAATGCTTTGCTTTAAGCAGTTTGTTAACCCTTTGTCAGACTGCAAGGGAAGAGCAGAGCTGGTGCTTTGAGGGGGAAATGAGTTAAAAATACTTCAGATACAGCGTTTGGGCTGTTGATCTGTGCAAGTCACCTCAGCAAGAAATTTCAGTCAGGACAGAAATTTCGGAGTCAGGGCAAGGAGGAAGGAAGGAGATGGGGGTGACTGATAGCAAAGCATCTCTCAGGGTCAGAAAGCTGCTTAGAAGGACCTGATGTTGGGCACCATGGAGCACCAAAGAGAGGGAGAGCTTTGCTTCCTGGTCTTTGAAGGTTTCCAGAATGATGTCAAATATATAGTATATATTGTTTCCTTCCAGTCTCGGGGCTGCTCCGAGCAGGGAAATGGGACCTGGACAGGGGCGTGGGCATCCCGGGAAGGGGAGTGGGCATCCCGGGAAGGGGAGTGGGCATCCCAGGAAGGGAAGCGGGATCCCTGGCAGGGGAAGGGCATCCCGGGCAGGGCTCGCTCCGGTCGGGAGATGGCAGCAGCACTTTGCTCTTTGCTCGGACGGGCCACGCCGGCCCTCGGGGGCTCCCCAAGGCTCTGGCCCCGCATCCCCCGGGGGTCAGCCCAGCTCCGCGGAGCCGCTCGCCAGCCCCCGTCTGTAACCGCAGCCTCCCGCCCTGCTCAACCCCGCTCACCCACGCTCGCTCCCAGCAGACGAACCGCCCAGGACTTTTCCTGAACGAAGGCCCACCTGGAAAAAGCTGGAGTGCAGCTCCCACCCCGCCCTGGGGAACCAAGGATGGAGAGGAAAGCACAGGGGTAAAGGAAAGGATCGGCTGGATCTTAGAGTGTCTCCACTGCTCGAACTCCCCAATTCTATTTGAAACAGAGTATGACCCTGAAATCCAGGTCCTCCGAGCACTCCCAGTGCTCCCAGCTGCTCCCATTTCCACCCATGCAGGGGCGAGGTGGCGAGGGTACCCTGGGACATGCCTGGGGGTTGGTGTCGCTGCGGCTTGGTGATGCCATGGGGACACCCATGGGAATGTCACTTGGAAAACGTGCCGCAGAAGGCCAAGGTGCCCTTTGCGGCCCCAGCGCGGGCGGGGGCTGCCCCGAGGGGGCACGGCGGGACCCCGACCCCGGCCCCGGGGCCAGCTGGGGTGAAAAGGCTACTTGAGAGAGGTCAGAAGGAGAAAACTAACCTGCTTTTCTTTGGCAATTATGAAGTGACAAATTACCAGTGAAAGAGCTCATCTGTCTGTATTTATTTGTAGAGCCCCTCCTCGCCACAAAAGCGAGGCACGGAGAGGGCCGGGATCACAGCCCTTCTCTTAAGGGTTTCAAAACACTCCGCTGACACCTCACTCCATCTCTGTCAGCACGGGGGATGCACAGAAATTAAGTGGCCAGACCGGTGCCACCAAGCAAAATGTATTTCCAAGAGTGAGCCCCCCGAGCATGCCCTGCCCCCACCCCCCCCCCGACACAGCATCTTCCATTCTCCACCCCCTCAAGCACCCAGAGGACAAGGAATAGCATTTTGAAGGGGTAGCTGGAGTCCCCTCCTGATCCCACATCTCCAGGAGCTCAAGGTTTAAGGAAATCTGGTGTTACGAGGCTCCTGATAAACCACAGGGCTCCGAGCCCCTTTGTGTGCGCTGTCCCTGAGCTCCTTGTCTCCGTGCTGCTCACAGGGCAAGGGTGAATCCTGCGCACACCCAGCCCGGAGACACAACAAAAGCCCAAAGCCATTGCATGTGTGAGATGCTTAATTGCATTACAATCATCTTCTCTTATCAAGGAATCAGGAGGAGAGTCAAAACAGGCACTTTGATCCCCGCAGAAGCTGGAAAAACAGCAACGACTTGGCCAAGGTGCAAACCATGTCCTCCCTCGCCGGCAGCAGAGGAGAGGGAGCAGAGTCCTTCCCCAGGTTTGGGGGGCTGGGAATGCCCCCCGCCTTTGGGGAGTGGGCGGCAGCAGAAAATGCAGCAGGAAAGACAGCAGCAACCGAAAAAAAAAAAAAAAAAGAAAACCAGTGGCCAGCTTGGCTTTGCTTTTCTTTCTGTTATTAGCATCGTTAAATATAGAAGCAAACCCGATTTTCAAAGCAAAATGTGGTTTCGGAGCGCCGCGGGCAGCAGTGACCCCGGGCAGCTCGCGGAGCATCCCGGCGAGCGCTGCCCCACAGACCCCAGGGCGCTCCACCCGGGGGATGGAGGGACAAAAACCCTCCGGTAGGGAGGTAAATATTTACTCTCCAAACACAAACCGCTGCCCGGAGGTTAACGAGACACAAAACCACCCTCTGCAGCGGGAGCCGGCAGATGGGAGCGTGGCCGGGCGGGTGCTCCCGGGTCCCTGGGGGCTCCCAAAATGGGGCAGGGAGTGGGAATGGGCAGCTCTGGGGAGCAGCAGGTCGCTGCCAAGGGGGATAACCCCCCGTGCCCCTTCCCCCGCCCTCCAAAAGCTTCCTCCCAGCGCTTCCCAAATGAAAAAATATCGCAGGCGAGCTGCAAACCCGAGGATCGTCACTAACCAAATTGAGACACTGATTTTCCGTCTCTATCTGACCGGCTCTGCAGCCGTCGGGGGAGGATTTATCTGCGCTGTAAACCCCAGAGCGAGTTCAATCTTGTTTGTACCTGGCAACAGATCCAGGTTAAGGGAAGGCCAGCGCGAACGGCTCCTGCTCTCCCACCCACTGCTCCCAGCACCGCTCCTGCTCCGTGGGGTAACTCCAGCAGGGATGGGCGCTGGAAAACACTCCGTACACACTCATCACCGGCCTGGGGGTGCTGCCCACTCTCCACGCTCCTGGCTCTGCCCAAAGCTGCCACGGCACAGGGATCACTCTGGTGTGCCCAGGGCGGCCTTGGTCACCTCAATGCCACCCAGGCAGGGACAGGCTGGCACATCCCTCTGGGGGTCCGGCCACGGGCATCCCAGTGGCCACAATGGCCACTTGTCCCACTGGAAGGGGAGGAGAACGGGAACGTTGCAGGGGGCGATCGGGTGCCCAGCAGGTTCAGCTGGAGATGTCAATGGGATGCGAAAATCACTCATGGAAAAACAGCTGAGGAAAAGGAAAAACGTTCCTTGGCTGAGACT